TCGAATGAAAAAATCGTGGACGAATCGTTCTCGACTGATGCACGATGTGCGTAAAGTGCAGAGAGAAAGGCGGGAAAAGAACACGTGGCATCACATCGGGTTGCCGGTGGTGGTGACTCGGGGGTGAAATATACGAGGGTCTTGCTTCTCCGCGAGGATATATATGTTCGGTCATCGCATGCTTCCGTAGGGGAGTCGTATTTCAATTTTCTTTTTGCTTTCCTCGCGGATAATTACCTGCTTCTCCCTGGCGTTCTCGCGACGGACTTGAATCACGGCGGAACATTCGAGATCGTTTCAAGCGAGCTTTCGTCTGGTCCTCGGCTAGCAGAAAATCAGTTACACGAAATGTGAGTGTTTCCTTAGTCAGTGCGCGTGTACATTAACTGAAGCGGCGTAAAGGGACAGCGCACGAATCAATCTTCCGTCGCGTTAACAGCGCGGCCTCGCGGAAAATTTACTCTCCAATCTATGCCAGCCCCGTAGAGAGACATTTTCATAATTCCTTTCTCCCGGCTCTCTCAAGGGGCTAATTTCTTCTTGATGCTCGAACGACAGCCAAAGTAAATTACTTCGGAGACTTCGCGTCAAATTACGGCAATTAATTACGCGCAACTAGATTGCAGCTATTAATTGCAGCGCACGTCTGTCGCGCGCGTCGGGGGTTGCGCCCGGAGAAATTCGCGCTGAAAAGAGAGGAAATTGGACCGAGTAGCTTCCTCCCGGATCGAACGTGTCCCGCTTCCTCGGGCTAATCGGCGTCTTGCGCGCGCCTTTAGGGCCGCGTTAATTTATCGCCGGGAATTTCGAATATTCTCGCCCGGGAGACAACAACCGCGGTTTTGCGCGAGGATTTTGCTCGTCGGAAGCAGGTAATTACTAATTATGGCGGGACAGAAGCCGGTGATTGAAGCCGCTGTAATTGCCGCGGCGAGTTCAGTTCCTCGACGCGGTCGCGGCCGGACAGCGTGGCATTTGTCTATTCACAGTCTCCGACGTCGACGATCTGAACTCGACGAGATTACGCCGGCTTCGAGTCCGGCCGGGCGACACGACGTCGAAGGATTTGTCGAAGGACCGAGGTGAGGACGGGCGGTGGGTGATAACACGATAGAATGCTCGTGCTTGTGCTAAATTCTCGACACAACGAACAACGAGAGGTAGGCTTTGGTGCTGGTGCAGTTGCTCGCTCAAGATTTTGCCGAAAGGTCGCCGAGTTCCCGTACGAGGGGGCGGGTGAGGGAGGGTTGTTAAGACGGTGCTGCGATCTCTGTGAGACAGAATGAAAGAAAGAAAGAAAGAAGTGAGGGCGAAGATGTCTCGTGCTCTGTTCGTGGGTGATTGTCGACGTGCTTGCTTGCTTGCTAGCTAGCTTCTGTCCCGTCCGACTAGTGACTTCGGGGCCGCGTCAGTTTTTTCGTCCCGTCGAAACGCTCCCGGCTTCGAGTGCCACTCAAGCTACACAGATTCCGTCTAAGTCCTAAAGTCTAACAGGCATGGACACGATAGTGCAAGGAGGACCGGTAACGAGACTGCGAATGCGACGTTGTTCGTGAAAAACGTTTTATTGCACCGCGTTCTCGGTCGCGTCGCAGTACTAATTCCCGCGCTGGTCGCTCCCGTTCCCCCCTTTGCAAGTGACTTCCTTATCTTCTCTTTGCCTCGTGGTATACACATTTATATGCAGAGAATTTTTCAACAGAACGTCGGAAACCGTCCCTCTTATCCAATTCAGCCGAGAATCACTCGAGTAACTGCGCTTTTCGTTCCGTCTCTTTTACTTCCCCAACGCCTCGGACACATTTTCTCAGAGCAGCAATGGAGCGATGGAAAAGTCGCGCGAAGGAACATAAAATTTCGCGGGGATGAAATTTCGCGGCTAGCAGAAGCAGCGCGTAGCGAGGACGCCGCCACTGAAACGCGAACGCGCGAAAGTGGGTGAAAAAGCGCGAAAGACGGAAAGCGAGGAGAGAGCCGGCGATGTGCTGCATCTGCGGCGGCGGCGAGCTGATATATAGTGGCTTTTCCGAACGACTTCGCATCCGTGTATACCGAGAACTTATACGTACTGTAAACGAGAGGTAAGGCGCTATAAAACGGTGAAAACGGTCTCGGGGTACACGACTACGTCTGCTCTAAAGACTATCTAACACGGATTGCGTGGGGGGCAGAGCGGACATGGCGATGCTGGTGATGACGGTGGCGGTGCTCAGGTGCATCGGGGAACTTTTCACGACGGTCGGCACAGTAAATAGATAGGCTCGTTTCGCTATGTGACAGCAGAGCGCAGCGACAGTTGCTGTTGTGTGCGTGTGTACGTACGCGCCTGTGTGTGTGTGTGTGTGTTCGAATAAGCGGTGGCACATATCGACGCTTCAAAAATTCACGTCGATCGACACTCCTATATCGTTTTCGCGAGAATTTGACGGAGATAAATGGCTTCGGAGTTTCAGAAATGAAAATCTCATCTTTCCTCATTTTTCCGCGGATTTCCTCGGTTTTTGTCCCAAAATTCGTTGCGAGAAATTCACGTCTGTTCGGTTAAAGCCTGCGCCACATTTACTTTCCTCCATAAGGAAGATACGCGAGAGGCCAAAAAAATATCCGCGGAAAAATGAGGATAAAGCTGGATTTTCCGGAATCTTAAAACTACAGTTAAATTAACGCGTTTGAGATACTTCAAACATTTGATGTAGTGTTTCAACCGTGTTCCTTCTTTTACTCTTTTTTACAGCCAGATGCCGAAGATTTTAATTGCGATTCTCGCGCGACTTCCGCCGGATTATTTGTTTTCTCGCAATTAACGGCCGCCCGATCGCGATCGGGCGTTTATGGATGTAACCACCGATGATGTCATATGCGATCCGGCGACGAGGATTTTCGCCCGGGCTGCCACGAATTTTATTTCGCTCGTATAACCCGACGGAACGTCAGAGCACCCGGCATCGAAAATCCCATAAAAATAAACGAGGCGATAAAGCAACATTCGCAATAAAGCCGGGAGACCTGACAAACGTCCGACGTTTCGGCGGACGGCGCGACATTTCCGGCGCATTTCTCCCAAGATTTCCGTCTCTCGTGCCGCGACAGGAACGGTATATAACACTGCTGCGTTTATGAGCGTGAATTTTTGAAAATTGCCGCGCAATGGCGCGCGAGGGGGGGGGAGCAAGTGCGCACGTTCATACACTTCGTGGGGGGAGGGGAGGATAAACCTGCTATTACGTCACGCCGAGTGCGAGCATGAGTGCGAATATGTATTTGCATGTTTATGCGGGCGTGTACGTTGACAAAGGACGGTGCGTGCGAATGTGTGTGTTCGTGTACGCGTGTAAGTTCGTATATTCGTGTATGTGTGTGGACGTATGTGTGGGCTGCTAATTTGTATTCGCGCGTTGCTGAGTGTCGATGTGAGCCCCGGTGATTTTCCATCTCTGATTTAATCCGCCTTCCCTCGAGAAGCGAAAGCGCCGTCAAGCGCCGGAACAGACGGAACGTCACGTTGAATTGATTCCGAAAGATGTAACGTCGAAATATCTCGATCGACGAGAACTGCAACGTTCTCGATTACACGAGGCTATACCGCGAGAAGAGGTGCCGGATCGGCCAGCGATGCGCGCTCCGAAAATCGACTTTTCTCTTTAATCTAACCATCGCGCGTGTATCCTGCGGTTCGTTCAGCGCGAGAATCCTCGTCAGCTTTTGAATAATTACAGCGAGAGAGAAAGAGAGAGAGAGAGAGAGAGAGAGAGAGAAAGCACGCGAGAAAAAAGAAAACTGTGCAACACAGTCGAAGAGCAGCGATAACCAGGTCTACCAGCCACGACCGAGGCGGGAATCCTCCCTCGAGAGGATTCCAAACACGATCACCAGGACTCACGGCGTCAGGTGGACACCACACGACGTCGGGAACGTCGTCGCCACGAATGGAGAAAAAGCTCGGATTCTAACGTCGACGTTACCCGGCTCCCCGAACTACCAAAGCTGTCGGATTCTCGGATGCTTCTTTCAACTCTCAAGCCTCTCTCTCGTCGCGGGACGCTTCCGAATTCTCGCGGACCTCCTTGGATTTCTCCGATCCTCCGGGTCGAAGTTCGTTCGACACTCGCGTCTGCGGCGGTATCGGAAGATCGGACTTCCATCCCGGAAGGGGCTCGTCGGGCGTAATCGAAAAACTCGCGCGTCCCCGCGAGTTTCTCGGCCCGCGTCGCGTCAATGTTCCGGCCGCCTCTGCCCATCGGCGTGCCCCGATCTCGCATGTGCTTTGTAATACCGTACCTTAATCTCGCCGCGATTGTGGAACACAGAACGAGGAAGCCCGATCGAGTCGAGTCTCGCACGAGGCGAGGAGTGCCTCGCACCTCGACCCTGTCGGTCCCTCGAATCGAGAGTGGGCCGCTCGGGAGGCTAACGAGAACAAGGGAGGGGGGCCACTCCACTCACCCCCAAGCGCTCGTCTGTTCACATATCGCGCTTATATTTTCCGCTTCTCCGGAGAATGCACTTTGTTCCTCTCTCTTATTCTTTTTTTTTTCCTTCAACTTTCTCCGAGAATATGGTGATACACACAGGTATTCTCAAGCGTGAGCACACGACGAAACACACGGGGCGAAAAGTAAAAGCCACTGGCGGTGCAATAACTGGCTACTGGCAAGCAACTACTCGCACAAAACAATGGGCAGCGATTCAATGTCAGCGCATACGTGTATATAACGCACACACACACACACACACGCACACACAAGTAATGACATAGTAGAGAGATAGGCGGATAGTTGATGCACAGATATATACACATATGCGTCGATGCGTTAATGAGCGTCGATCGTAATGAGAGTGACACACACACATATACATATATACATATATGTATATACATATATGTATGATGCATAATATATGCGCGTATGTATACATGTACATATATATATAGATTTATATATAATTATGAGTATATATATATATATGTATGGCAACGTGGGTTAAAATAGCGTAAGGACCTGCTTCTGGGCCATCGACTGCATCTGCTGGAACATGATCCTTTCCTCCTCTTTTCCTAGAACAATAGAAAATAACGAGGAACTCTTGGAGGAACTGTTGGTCCCGGGTTTTCGGATCGTCAATGTGATTGTGTGTCTCCGTGGACGTATTTGTGTACGCGTCTGTGTATGTATATGCGCGCGTGTGTGTGGGTGTGTGTGTCCAATGTGTGAAATTTTCGATCGATTCTGATGGTTACCTACGGCAGTTTACACTTGACCGCAATCTTTGCCAATTTCTCGCTCCATCATTGCGTTCAAATTATTCGTACCGCGGCCGACGTAGTAACGTTTGCGATTATTCTTACGGTGCGTGAGCAGTGGACACGATGTTAATGACAAAACTAAATTCGGCCTATCAATCGCTTCCGGTGGAGTTCTCGAGAGTAGATCGAGCACGGAGAAAAAGGATTAGCTTCAGTAACCAAATTAATTGTAACGTCTGGGCACCGAAAATTTTAGCAACGTAAGCAATTTTAATCGCCACCGCAGAAAACGTTTTTGCCCCTACAGCAAACGTATTATCGTAAGCGATATTTACTTTTAAAATTGCTCACGCTGCTAAAGTTTCAGGTCCATATTTTATAATTAATTTATCCACTGAAGCTAATCTCTCTTCTCTGTGAAGAAATGACAAAAACGTCGGCGAGGCGCATATCCGGCGCCGCTCTCGCCAAGAATGTGCCGACATGTATAAGCACGACGTTTTATAAAATATATTCTGAAATACGTGCCTCGATTTCGAGACCCGCTCGTTAGTTATCGTGTCGTAAACCGTGACTTTCTCGCGTTTCCGTCGACGTGTTCCGAGAGCGGACTGGACCGCGCTCGTCAACACTCCTCGCCTGTCTTTTCTTACTTTTCCATGGGAGTTTGTTTGCGGGGTCATTTCTTTAAATTCTATTCTCTCACTCGCGTCTTTTACATACGTGCGCCGTCAGTTTCACAGGTCGGCTGGGCGTTTGTGCGTGTCGCACAGGGGCGGACGGCGAAACGGACGTTGTGAGAGTGCGCGGGCTTATCTGCTTAGGCGAGCGGCCGAAAACCTAACGAGATAATTCGATCCACCTTTGTGGTAGCGTCGAGGACGACCGACAGCGGACGCGCGAAAAATTCGTTGCGAGGGGAAATCGAGTCTCACCCTCGTTAGCGGAGGGGCGCCTTTGGTGCGCGCTTCATTTGCTCGCGTATCGACAGGCAAACGCTTCCTCGCGAGCGAGACGTCCGACATCGCGCGCAATCAATTCCGGTTATGCACCCGCCGCACTTCATGCGTGTGTGTTCGCACGCTTCTGTTATCGCACATCCGGCTCGCATGAAAATCGCGCGCTGTAACACGCGGGAAAATTCCGGGAAATTACCGCGCAATCTCACGGGAGGTTAGGCAAAGCAAACAGGGTCGGAGAGCGCTCGTCCGTCGGGGGACGATATTTTTCTTTCGTCGGGCGTCGAGAAATACGAAAACGTGGACAAATCGAGTGGGACTGACAAGGGAGAGGTCACGAGATCGTACCCATCGATTTTGATAATATTATTTGTGTAAATAAGCGTGAACCTTTATTGAGCAAAAAGAAAAGGCGCAATTCTCTCAACTAATTTCGATTTTCGAGAAAATCGAAGTTAAAAAATCCAGAAATGCAAGTTTGGCGGAGCACTTCACTAAAGGTCACGTGACTCGGTTTCATTTGCTCAAAGGTTACCAAAGCTTATTCGCGCAAACAATATTCTTGAAATCGGTAGATACTACCTCTTTCTGATCTCTGGCGAGCCTCGAATGCTGAAAAAAATCGGGACTGTCCGCGCGATAAAGCCTCTCTTTCTAGCGACTTCCCGCGGTATTCACTGCAGCGATCGACGATCACACGTGGGATTCCTCGCGACAGGATGCAGTGTTAAAGACAATCCATTAGAGTAGTCTACCGAAGAAAAAGGAGGAAAAGTTGCAATCAGCGACTCACCCATCCCCTTGTTCTGGAGCATCTCGAGGAGCTTCTTGATGCTCTCATCGCGAGCCTGCAGCGTCTGTTTTTGCGTCTCTATTCTTAATTCCAGTTCCTACAATGAGAAAAGGAGTTAATTAACAACGAAAGAATTACACTAAACACTGTACTAAGTGCAATTCGCACCCTTTAACGCCGGACAAAAGCGTGCGATTTTTGCCACCGCGACACCGGCGCACGTTTCGCCGTCGTTCCGAGACGAGATGTCGCGTGAAATGAAACGTTAATTCGGACAACGTACATTTCGTTCGCAGCTCGAGCGGAATCCTCGCTTCGGTGAAATCTCGTTTGCGCCTCTGATGTGGCGTTACCTTTGACAGAAAAAAAAAAAAACCGGAACCGATGAAACCTCTCCCCCGGAACCACCGGTAACAACCTGATACGCTCGATTCGCGCGAACGTCAACGTTAGCTAGATAATGTCCGCCGTTTGACGGCCCCGCGGCGCGTAACGAATTTAGCACGTCTCTTTGACGGTGGGAAAGTAATTAGTCCGGAATTAAACACCCGCTGTTGGCCTTCTCCCGGCTATTCCCGCTGCGAGGAGAACGCTCGCGTGCGTTACTCTACCTGGGCCGTGCGCGACGGGTCGGCTGATTGGCGCGCTGAAACGCGAGAATTCTCGAATGTGGCGGGCAAGAAGGCCGTGGCCGGTGCCCGATAATTTATTCGATCGAACTGCTCCGACAAACACTCCCCCCGGCCGCGAACATTTCTCGTGAACGCGCGGGTCGGTGAGAAGCGTGCGGCGCGAGGAGCGAGTAAAAACGATGGGAAAAACGGCATACGCGTAAGCATATGTTGCGGGTATCGTCGAACGCTACGAAATGTCAACGAACCGACGCTCGACCGGCAAATTCAGTAATGAGAATTTGCAAGGGGACGAGAAACCGACTGCATAATCTGGCGAATGGCCAAAGACGACCAGTTGCTCTCCGTACGTTGTACATTTGACCTGTCTGCGACATCCTGGTCGCGAGATCGTTCGTGCTTGCTTCGTTTCTTACGAGATTAGACTATTTCCCGGAGTGTAGCTTCGGAAATTCTTCTCCCCCCCCCCCCCCCCCCCCNCGAATTGTATGCTCGCGTGGTCTAACGTGTACAACGGAAACGTAAGCTGGAACGGTTTATAAAAGGTAAATTATACACTGAAAAATGAGTTTGACTGGATCTATCTGACAATGAACAATGAAACACGTTTTGGTTGAGGAATATGGAATTTCTGGTTATAAGAACCAAATTTGTTTTATGAGAACGAAAAATTTTGCATTCTTCAATCAAAACGCGTTTGGCTCCCCATTGTCAGGTACATATAACCAAATTTACTTTTTAGTGTACACAGAAAAAAATGCTAGAATTAAGTAAACATAACTACCTGTTTTCAGGCTCTTAAATCAAGTAATACTTTTATCAATCTAAATGTATTTTTTTATAATCAATTATAATTATCAATTTAAAATATATTTTATTAGCTTGTAGTAAATTTTACTTGAACGTAATAATATCTTAATTTGTAAATGAATTATTGAATGCAAGTATAAATTGTTGTAAAATCTAAGAAAGTATTCACTAGAATTATATAATACTTTTTTTCCATTGAAGAAACCTAGAGATATTAAATTTAGATTTTTGTGCATAGTAAATATTTTCTGGAAATAAATTCTGATATTTTTAATTTACTACTTGAACGGTAGCACTTTTTTCAGTATAATCACTCTAACAACAACCGAAAAAAATTATATTTTCTATGAAATTATTCTCGTTATGATTTTTAAACACAAGTTACGTTTAATGACGCAATTAATAAATCGACAACATAGAGGGATGGATCGCCTCGTCGGAAGCGACGCAGTCTCGACTTTCCAACGTACTTTGTCTCATGTCGCTACGATTATTCTAAGCGGAGTTATTAAAATGCGGCGAAATTGTCAGATGAGGACTGAAGCCAACTACAATGTTGCGCCGCCGTTCTTTTGAGTAGAGCGAGCCGCCGACAAGTGTAAAGTTCGAGATGTGGACGTATTACATTGTGTTGCCGCACACCGACTTGGAGAATTTCAGAAAATTCGGATGCCTGTATCTCCGCGAAAAATTGACGTAGGAACGTGAAACGAACGCCATTCTTCTCAATTTTCCGCGCTGTACGCGATTACGTCGCTTTCATATGCTCTTGTCATGACATGTGTTTGTATATATTATTAGGACATGCGGCAGACGAGATAAATCATTGTACTTCGACTTCAAAATATATTTAGATACGAAAATATTATTACAGAGAACATCGAAAGTGAGAAAGAGAGGGAGGGAAAATAGAGTATCGAAAGTTTTTGCGGTTTGAATTACGAAGTTTCGAAACATTTCATTCGAAAAATTTCACGTTTCCAAACGACATGCAAAACGATTTCGAGTCTTATATGGAAAATTGTCTATCGAAAATTTACGTTACTTGTATAAAAGATAATTTATAGAGAGAGAAAGTGAGAACAAATATCTCTGGAGGACCTTCATTCAGACATCGTGCTGTTCAGTAAATGAGATTGCACGCAATTTTAATTACGCGCCTACGCGCTAGTATCGATTCGACGTTAAGTGCATCGGTGAAATTGTTTCCGACGCCGTAAGCGGTGGACTTAACGAATTTATCTCGGGGAGGTGATATTCGCGCCGTTGCCAAGATTTCCGGTAGCATTTTGGACCGTTCGCAGGCAATCGGTCGTTTACCTTGAACGCGACCCAACTCTCTTTCTCTCTCTCTCTCTCTCGTCTATTTCGGCTTTGCGAGTACGTGGCGTCCGAGAAGTCGATAAACCACAGTACATACCGTCGAACAGATTATTTCTCTCGAGCGGTTTCATCCATCGCCGTCGAAATTAATTGCACGGGGTCAAATGAACGTTTAGTACGCTCTTCCGAGGAAGATCGCGTGTACGACCGAAACGACCGATCAATCGTCGTGATAAATTATCGACCGTTCAAGGTGAACGAGTCTGCACAATTCAACAGACAATACGAACGCGTCTGAAATGTGTTCTCGGTTATCACGGAATACACACACGTGCGAGACGTATCGGACAGATCCTGCATCTCGCACGTGTTCCGCTCTCTCGAATACATTCGGAATGAGACAATGTTGAGCGCGTGACAGGCGGCGTCGGAAGATCGGGAGATAGCGGCGAGGCCCAATATATCTGGCAGGCACCGGCGCGAGCGGTGCGAAAATGTTCACGAGCGTCGGGAAATTCTCCAGGGCTGTCGACCGGGGCGAAAAAGGAGGGTGGTAGAAGGGGGCGGCGGAGGAGGGAGGAAGACGGCCCCGGAGGCGACTGCGGCGCTTTCAAATTCACGGACCGACCCGAGGATCTCCTCTCTTTCACTCCGCGTTCGCCGCACTTTACCCCTATTATTCCCGGATTATAATAGAGACTTTACTCACTCCCTCCCCCTCCCTCCTATCCCTCTCGCACCGCTTCGGGAGGACGCGATTCTGCCATGGGAGTTCCAATCTTCGCGATGGTGCGGTAGCGCGCTCTCTATTCTATTCCGAGACAGCGACTGCATTATTTCCGACTTAAGACGCGGAAAACCGGGCGCGCCGGTTTAATCGCACCGTTAAAATTAATCTCGTAAACGCGCCACGCCGGAAGTCGGACGGAAAAATTCGACGTCGCGGCGGAAAATACGGTGAAACTTTCGCCGGAACGCCGTCGAAATGGGAGGATGGAGGGGGAGGGGGGCTTCGCGCCATCGTGAAAACGAAAGAGCCTGTCGGGAGAGGGATGCGACAGATCCCGGGGAATAACTGGTGGTAATTATTTTCGAGGATACGGGCGTATTCCGAGAGACGACGGCACTTTGTGCTCACGGACATTTTGTAATTGCCACTTGTTTTATTGTTATTGAACTTAAAATATAAAGGCCTATAATGTATACTGGAGAAAAGTACATAAAAAATTTATTTATAGGATACCGACGCGTATTTCTTACCTTTATCGTGTCACGAAGTATGGCGATCTCCCGAGTCAGATGCTCGTTCTCATTGTACAAAACTTCCATTTGCTGCTGTATTTCGACGCTCGGCCCGCGCATCCTCATTCTAAGCTCCTCTTCCAGTTGGCGCACCATTATGCTTTGTTTCTGCAAAACACACGGAATGTCGATAATTGACTCATGTGAACTCACTGACGATGACTTTCGGCATCGACAGCGCGTTAAAAAAAAAATCGGTCCGTCCGAGGGCTCCGTGAAATTTCGCAAAACAGGGACACAACAGCCCAAGGACACACTGAAAGAAGGATTTGGCAACAAGTATCAAAATTTGGTTAATTTATGCTGACCAAATGTTTGACTACTGCGACGAAATAATTTAGCTCCGTTTACTGCATATACAGCACACGGAATTATATAGTGTACGGAATTAATTATTAAATTATTGGATTGCAGTAGTCAAACATTTGGTCAGTATAAATTAACCAAATTTTGGTACTTGTTACCTCCGTAAATCCTCCTCTCAGTGTACACGACGAACTTAGAGCAGGGGAGGTCTTTCTACGACGCTGCGGCAACTTTTGAGGAGAGAAGCACGCGCTTCTCCGCGAAAGTTCACTTGTGTCGCGCCGACACTCGCGCTACACGTCGGTAAACGCGTTGTGTGGACCTTCCGCGACACGTACACCTTCCGGTGGTATTGTCGCAGCTCTCCGGACCGGACTCGTTAAACATCGTTAATGACGCCGCAGCGACACGTCATAAACGCGCGCGCTAGGGTGGACAAAAGTAGCGCGTCGCGAGAAAAAAAATACGCCGCGACGGTAGGGCTCCCCACGTCGCGCTGTCTCGTTAATTAAACGCTCCCCCGCGGTCGCCCAGCCCCGCGTCGCACCGATTAAACGACCGAGTGTTTGACTTTCTCGTCGGGCTTTGAAGAGCCGTGAGTGATACATTTTCCATGAAGCGACAACGCTCACCGCACGCTTTCCGGACGCAATCCGGTTTATCGGATCGGCGGAAGTGTACCAGGGAGCGGCCAAAGGCACGCACGCCATTCCCACGGAATAACTCCGACTCGCGATTCGCGATCTAACAACGATCTAATAACGAGCGCGCCCGCTGTTACATGCCGCAACGCAGAGTTTTTATCTTCCTTTTTATCTATCCTAGAACCTTTTACCGACCTGGGATATTTTCCGATAATTCGGACTGTACTTGTAAACAGTATATATGTGGCTTGAACTCTTTCCTCCGAGGAACGAACTTTTCCCTTTGAACCTTGGACATCCTGGTATGTCGGATCTTGGTACTAAATTTCGAAATGACTCATTTAAGCGAATTCGTATCTTCGATTGCCCGTCGAAACCTAACCATATCTTGCAGTGGCCTTGGATGCTCCAAAATAGACATGCCTTCATTGGGCTTAAATACGGCCTAGAAAGGCAAATCCTGAATGGAATTTCATGAATAGGCCCTGAATAAGCACTGATGTGGATGCCTCTAATAAGGTCTGTCTCTCATAAGGCTTAATCAGGGCTTAGTTAGATAGATTTACAAAACTGGCTTTGAATTGTATGAACGTTATATTGCTGTATAGGGCTTAGATAGAGGACAAAATTGTATAATGCATTTTCTAGCACCCGTCTTAAATTTCTATCTGGAATGTAGTTCGGTTCTCGTCAAGCTGCCGAACAATAAAGACCTAGTTCTCCGTCATCGCTCACAAGAGTATCACCCGTATACCAAGGAGCCAAAAATAAAGCACATTAAATCTGACCATGCATGTGTTTTTCGCTCTATTTCCAAAATTCTATTTCTCTAGCTATTTCCAAAATTTTATATCACGTGTACAAGTATCCATGGGGAGAAAAATTTTTCGCTCGCACAGTAAATTGTTTGCCATTATAACGATAGCAAAAAGATTTGTTGGGAGTATCAATTGTTAATTATGCCAACAAAATTTCATTGCTGTCGCAACAACGTTTTGCTACAACAGTAAAATTATGTTTTCCGTGCAACAAATCTTTTCGCTGTCGTTATAGTGACAAACAATTTACCGTGCCAGTGAGAAATTTTTTTCGGTGGGTCATCCACTGAAATTTGCGCACGTGACAGCGCGCGTGCGTATAACGAATGAGCGAGCATCGGTGAACAAATACGCCTTCGGAAGCCGATGCGTCCGGCATTACCGATTGACCTGATTATGCGTGCGTGGAATCAGCGCTATGCGACGTCACGGGTGAGGATGCGGAGGGGGTGGCTCGGGGGCAGAGAAATTGCATTCTAGCGGGCATGACGTCATTTCTCCCCTTCGCCATTCGCGATCCTTGCCCTGACCTATTCGCACGTTCTCGGCCGAATTCTGCTTTTCACGTGCAAAATTCCCCGCGAATTCTCATCGAGAGGCCGTTTCCACTTGCGTTTCGCAATTCACGCTTCGAGATTCACGGTTGACTAACACGGACGAATGCCGCCGTCTGGTTTTTATTGAATTTTCCCAGAGTTTCGTAGAGAATCACAAGATAGAGTTCCGCGGGACGGAGTATCGCGGGTGAAATACAGAGGCGATATTCGTCGCGGCTATTGTTCGATGCGCGTGTCGGCGTAACGTAAAAATCGAGCGACGCGAGTTAAGCGCTCGTAACTTCGTCAAGAACACGCGTCGTTCGACGCTTAGCACGTCGTTCGTCGTCGGTCGCGAGTAAATGCAAGTCAAATTTATAGCGGCCGCACGTAAAAGAGCTTTCATTGGCTCTATCGCCAGGCGAACCCTCGCGTTATTTGTGTAGCGCGGTCATTAAAGTAGACGGTATCTTAAATTTGTCCCTCGTGAAGACTCTGCAAAGAGCTCGATCGAGGAATGCACGGCAAAGTATCGTTTTACAATGCTGAGACAGTGATAGAAATTAACTTGTCGCGATATCGATCATTTCGACGCCAATGAAACAGTAAACGTTAATACTCAGTCTCAAGAATACGTTACAAATAAACTGCAGCGAATTCTGAATTTCGTCTTTCTCAAACGTCTATTTTTTCGTCGATTAATCACCCGGAAGAAAAAAAAGAAGTTCATATAGTTAAAAGTTAGCTCCCACAGTAAAAAAATTGCAACTGAAATTTAGTTAATTTAGTTCATTTTTTTGTCCTTGCATCTAGATTTTAGCTTTCACAACTAAAACTAAGTCTGGTAATTAAATTTCAGTTGTCTTATATGGATAGCTAATTCCTTTTTCCGTGCCTAAAAATATGTCACAAGATCATTAAATTTCGATTCTATATTTTACTTGAAGCGAAAGAAAGGAAAATTGAAACGCGCGATTGCGAAAGTACGTCACTGGATCATTCCAATTCAGTTCTATATTTTACCTAAATGTGAGAGAAGAAAGAAAAATATAAGTTTCAAATTGTCTCTCTCGTCCTAAGAAAGTGAACTGTGTTTACGAATTATGGGACGACGAAGGACGGAAGCCAAAATGAGTGTTCCTCCGCGTCGCAAGAGACTCAAATATCAAAAGTTCAAACGTTTGCGAGCATAAAGAAATATCACTGTGTGCGCAGATACTCGGTGAGTCTCGAGAGGCTTAAAGGAAGCCGCTTTAAATATCACCGGGCGCGATAGTTGAATGATACGATCGCGGAGGTCACCGGTTTGAGTAAACATTTTATCAAGATGTGACACGAGCAGGTAGTTGAAGATCGAAGAAGGAGGAAGATGGAGTTCGTAGTTTAACCGAAGCCCCTCTTAAGACGAGATCCTATTAACGATCGAGCCGTCCCTATCCGTTGCAACATCGGTGGTTGCACCCTTAACATGAAGAAAACAACCGGCGGTCTGCCTCGCAGCTGATAGATACTGGCATGCCGCCAAACAAATCGCGAGATGTTAATCGCGAGATCTGCTATAGTTAGGCGCGAAGCCGGCGGAAACAGTCACGTTTCACGACGACTAAATCAAAGATCTGCCGGCCTGTTCTGTAACTTTTAACACGTACGGTGATGTCATATGTGCTATATTATTCCCTACGATGGAGAGTTACACGATTTTCAGCCTTACGCATAATGCATAAAGTTGAAAATCACAGAAGTAACTCTAGTTGCAATGGTAAAGTTATAATGGCTTTCATTATAATAGTTTCAACATTAACCCTGATAGAAATGTATGCAGTTTCCTAGATACCTATTCAGTTACTGTTTAATATTAATATATTCTCATGAGTTGTAATAATAAATTGCTGCGTAGCAAATGGATAAGAACTTGATAAAGTTGTTATTCAGTGACTGACGCAATTTTCCTGGTAAAAATATATATGCAGTTTGCGTAGACACGGACCTGATTATATATCAGGATTCGGATTTTGTGCATAATAATTGCAGGAAACACGTTACATCTTAATTGGTATCCCAAGTAGTAGTAATATTACTCCTCAGTTATCAGACTGAGTTCAAAAATGCATGAAATTTCTACTAGATGCGTGTATATGTGAAAGGCTAAAATTCGTATGATAATAAAATTTCAGTCTAAGGAATGGCATATATGATGCCGACCGTACGCGTTGGCTTCGGTCTACAACCTTGCTTTAAGATCACGATCGTTTATTAGAAAAATAATCATGGTTGGTCAATTTGCTTGCTGCTTACGTCCTAAAGCGAGGTTGTAGACTAAAGTTTACGCATCATCGCGCAAGTAACACAAGACGCAACAGCTGCGCAACGACGTTTAACAATAACGATATCGTCGTTCAAAGTTACAGAATAAACACACTGATGTGGTAAAAATATCTAAAATTGCGGAGCGACAGCAATTATTTCGCGTATCGATGAAATCATTTTCCCGAGGTTTCCTCGACATGATTCTTCCGGAATTCGAGGAGAAGCGAGAGAGGAACGTACGAAATTACCACCAGGACGAGATCGTCGGTGTATCTCGGCTGACCTCAAGCAGCTGTGCAAACGACACGATCGCGGCTGAGAGCCCAGCGATCAGAAAATAGCATTAGCAGATCTTATCAACGTCCAGAATCGCAGCTGGTGGACGATGTTCCGGCGGCGGGCGACGCGTTTCGACGGAACGCGATTTCCACCGTCGGATTTTAATCGCCGCGTTCGATATCGACCTTGTCCAACGCTCAGATATCTTCAGATTCACG